ATCGTAAACCCGGCTGCATCAAGATGCATCGGTAAGCTAGGATATGAGAAATGAAGGATATCGGACCCAAAGCCGGATGACTGCAAAACCACGCCGGCGAAAAGCATCTGCTTATATTTGTCACCCGGAAATGTTCAAAATGGAAATATTTGCCGCACGAATCCAACACAGTATAATTCGGTAGATATTTTTTAGCACTAAAGAAAATATAAGGATCTATCTCAGTCGGACTGTTTCCGGATGCTGATCCGAAAAAGGAAAATTTCCAGCAGCGTTCACTCACTCAGAGTTAAACTGCCAAGCCGGAAATTTGCATTTAAATGAAACGCCGTTTACCATTGTCGATGGTGGCAGCGCGTCTTGGTGCGCGCCTTTAATTAATTGCACATTCTTTCCAATTAATATTTTAATTAACTAATAACACGGTCACGGGTTGAGACCTCCACATCGCTCAAAATCTATGCAAAAAAAAAAACCCGAGAAATAATTACGCTCACAAATCAAACACAGCACTCGAATCCACAAACAAACCACTTTCAACTAAATCAAAACGCTGGTCTAGACTTCAAAAACTCACTCAATTATAATTAATTAATGTTTAATTAGTCGTTGGCGTTTAAATTTCATATTTTTGGAATGTAGATGTCGCTTGGGTTAAAAATAACGATAAATCTCGCGGCCCCCTGGCGGCGAGTAGTCGTCCACTGGCTGGTATTTGGCGTGGGTTATAATTTTCTGGTGGAAAAGGTCGTTCGCGGACGATTTAATCCTCTTTACGAGCCACTTCAGTCGTCCCCGTTTATATTTTATGAGCGCGCTAGCTCGACCCCCAGCATGGCAGTCATATATAACGCGCGGCTATGCAACCAAACGTACAACCGGTCGCGCAATGTAGATTCCTACATTTATTTGCCGGCGTTTACGTGCAATATGCGCGTTAAACATTATTATTGTTATGGCAGCGTGGGCGCGCGGACAAACAAAGACACACGCCGATAGAAAACAATAAAATGCAAATGTCGGGGATGAATTGTTAATTGAACGTTGAAAATTATATACTTCGAGTATTGATATTTTATATTTCAACATTTTGAAGTTAGAATATTCATAAATGTTTTAATTTTTTGGTTTTGGTGATGAAAACAAAAAAAAATGAATTAATTTGCAAATCACATGAGATTTGTTGATGGTAACGATAGTTTCAATGTTTTAATTGACACGTAAATCTTCCGAATGGCCGACGATTCGGCGTCCGTGCGGACAACAATGGCGTCCGACTTTCAGGCGGGAAAGACAAACGCGTTCGTTCCAATTTATAATTAGATTAACAATGCAATTGCGCCCTCGGCGTGTTTGCACAACAAATTTTCGTAATTTCGTTTCGTTTAGCCAAACAAAAGAGAATTGCACTCTGCTCTAACCCTTTACACAATCACAATCACAATCAACGTTTTTTTCCTGACCTATCACGCACCATACCTCACCGAAAATGAAATCACTGCTATATTAAAATATTTCGGTCATAACTTAGAAATCCGTATCTGCGAATGCGTTTTGTGGGCGCGTAATGTATGCGCGTTTTCCGCATGTCGCGCGTCGCGCCATATCGCGGTGAAAAATGTCCCTCCGAGGAAGTATTTTCCTGTCGATAAAGGCATTCGACTGGCGAAGGAATGAAGGAATTTATGTACGTAATATTCGGATGAAATATGCACCGCCGCCACAGTTGAACATACGAATATGCCGAACATGTGAATATTCCAACATCAGGAAACGCGCGCGCGAGAGGTGAATCGAATTTATAGCGATACTCCTCCCACTTCCTGTTATCATGTGCTCTTATATCTAAACTCCAGCACCGGGTGCCTCTTTGTACTTGGGGAGCATGGGGCCGCTTGAATGGGAGCATCCAATGAAAACGGAAAACGTGGTGGAAAAGGGGCAAGAGGGGCAGATTTATGTATATAAATACCGTTAAAATGTACAATTACTTTGATCTCATCTTTTCCGCATTCGCCAGGCTATCAAAAGCAAATTGTTGAACCAATACGTGGATTTCTAGCATTCTTTGATCATCTCGTTAACAACCCAACAGCTCCGCATTATGGGATCGGAATAGAATTTGTGGTTGTTGCTAGAAACATCTGTAAATTCAGTGTGGGATAACAAAGCGCACGAAGTGATCAATCATTCGAATACATTTCAATGGAATTCTGACACCGATTGAGGTTTGATATTCCTAATGTTATTTTAATGGTAGATATTTATATTTGGATTACACAGTATTAATTTTGACTTAAAATAATAAGATGGCAAAGGGTTCTTTTCCTAAGAGTCATCAGGAGCAGAGTGGCGCAGTGGAAGCGTGCTGGGCCCATAACCCAGAGGTCCGTGGATCGAAACCACGCTCTGCTAACTATTTTCGTTTTTTAAATTTTTCCCCTGAAAAGAAAATTTACGATCCAAATAATAAGCCATTATTAAACCCTGGAAAAGTGTCTTTCTTATTCTTGAATCACACTCATGATAATGCAATAATTTTGCTTGAGAGATAAATTTCGTTCTTGGCACGCTCGCGGATTGTGCATTGTGTGGAGCAGCGTACTTTAATTCAATTTTTATCCTTGATCTTCCTTTATCTCCGTATGCGGTTTTGTGGTTTTGCGATTTTTGCCAGAAAGCGTGCGAGTACATGCGCGACTAGGCGGGGGTGTTCTTATACCACACGACGAAATAGAAACGTACTCGCGAATGTAATGTGTTTTCGGCAATGATATGTGCGTTCTTTCATTGCGGCGGTGCCAGTGGTTGTGCTTTGCGCGTTGCTTCCGCTCGGGCGGGTTTCGTGGCGAAATTTGCGAATTTACGATTGCCGATTTCTCGATTGCGCGCCGTGCAGAAATGCACGAGGAGAGTTACAGACTAGTTTAAAGTGGATATTTCGCTCGCCAGGCGAGAGTATTAAGGTGTTACCTTAAGTATCTTTCTTCACTTTTCATTCAGGAAATTTAAAACTTTTGATGTGTTTATTTTGACTTAAATTTTGGCCTGTGCAAGTTTTAGAACATCTTCAAAAATATGTATTTTATTCATTAAATAAGATATTTTTGAAAATTATTAGTTTAGTTAAAAGAAAATCAACTTGCAATTATGTAAGTTGATAATTCATGTCTGTGCGCTTGTTAATTATTTTAAAAATAAGAATTTAAAAAAAAATTCAAATATTTTAGAATTGTTCTCAATCATCCGATATGGTCTAGTGGCTAGGATAGCTGGCTTTCACCCAGCAGGCTCGGGTTCGATTCCCGGTATCGGAAAATCTTTCCTTTTAACAATCTCTTCAAGTCAAGTTTTCTTTTACAGACTTTGTTTTGACTTTGGAAATTTCTGTGGCAAACAGCAAGTATTACCTTCAGCAGCTACCCTTTGTAAAGTTTACCATTATACGTTATCTTTAGAGCTCCTTTAGAGCTCCTTTAGAGCTCCTTTAAAGCTAATGAACTGTTTCTATTTTTTAAACTCTGCAAAGTACGATAAAATGTCCCGAATGTCCTGAAAATATTATTATTTTGGCCACTATTCCTCATTTTTTTTTGATTGAACATCTGTCAAAATTTTCAACCAAAAATAATTTTAACGATATTTTTGATATGTTTTATTATAATAATTTGTATAGTTTCTCATAGTTTAAAATATAAAATTTCACGTAGACATGTAATAGTATCTGTGGTTTGCACATGAATATTTTTAGAAGTTTCGCTATACTTCTTCTACAGTAACGTGGCGCTCAGCAAACTCGTAAAATAATTTTATCTAAAACAAAGAAAATTAACCAGCGGTATCAGGCAATATCCGGAATGTATATAAGCTGAAATTTTAGTTATGGTTAATTTCCTCGACGGTCTCCTCATGCATTTTATGCAAAGTGCACTTTTTACTATTCTTAGAGTTTGCCAAGAAACTAAAAAGACGCTTTAAAAATGCTTAAAAATATAAGTACAAGACACTAGAAAAGTTGGTACTTAATTAAATTTAGTTTGGAAATAGTTAAGAACAAGTCAAAATGGTGATTTTTAAAATTTAGGCAAAAGGACATGAGCAGAGTGGCGCAGTGGAAGCGTGCTGGGCCCATAACCCAGAGGTCCGTGGATCGAAACCACGCTCTGCTAACTTTTTCATTCTGTTTCCGAAATAAATAAATAAATAAAACCCCTTGAAATAATGTAACTCATCGAATATTTTGACAGTTATGTCAAGCATCCGATAAAATGTATCGACTGGCTTTTACCCAACAATTCTTTCCTCTTTCGATTTCTTTTTCTTCTTTTCAACTCGTAACATTAGCAAGCTCATAAATCATAACAATATTTGCACATTTTAATACCGATTACCAAACCCTCCATTTTCTTCCGCCACACAAATCGCGAAATGTTTATTCTTTTCAAATCGACGCAAAAAACTTTCCGATAAAGAATCGTAAAACTTGCCAGCGAATAATAAAAAAATCGAGCGCACAAAACTGGCACACCGTAAATAACGCACTAAACTAAAAGCTCGCGGCCTACAGCGCAAAACCGCCTTCGCGCAGCAAACAGTAAACTAACAATTATTAATGACTGTTGGTTGCTGTTTTTCGGTTTTCGCTTCGTTATGTTTCGTTATTCGCGCAGTTTTAGTTCTTTGCGTCACGGCTTTGCAATTCTTCTCTGCCAGGACGATATTTTATCGCATTCCAAACGCTCTCACACATCCGAACGCAAACTCAGCTGCGCGTAATCTACTTGAAGACGACGTCGTCCGAGTCTTCAAAGTCTAATGGACATTTCGGGCCATTTAATTCACTTTATCTGAAACTGAAGCTGTTGATCCGGCATACAAACGGCTTTATTCAATTGCCGAAATTCAATTTCTTATATTTTTATTGTAAATGATTGAATAAGTCAGGTTATGTCAAGTATATTGACAGATATTAATTATATTAACCACTAGAGGGCGCTTACCTGTAGACAGTTGGTATATCCAGGTCCGTAGATGACATGTTCGCATGCGCACGGACATTCCCCCAAACGTAGTTGGTCCACTTCAAAAATCAACTCAGGATCATCCATTTCAGAGTCCATTCCATCAGCAGGACGTCTCTGTTTTGTTCCACCATTCAATCTATCAAAAAACATAAAATTTATTTGTAATTTTTGTGCATAAATTTAATTTCAATGGAGTAAACGAAGATCTCCCGACACAGTAATAACACGACGCGGAATTGCATTAAACTTGTGTTATTATAAAGTTTCAAGAGTTGCCGCCTCCGGGGTTATGCATACTGCATTCTCAATTCAGAATACATGCAACAACTTGTGTTCTATCATCATGAGACTTTTCATTTCAAAAACTTAAAAAAATTATAAAATAAAACTTGCGCACATTAATCAAAATTATCTGCTCGCCAATGATGCAATTATAAAGCAATTAGTTATACCTCCAACTAAGCTACAAGTAACTAAGTTTAGTAAACTTAGTTGTACCAAGTTAGTGTAAGTTATGTTTGTACAAGTTTGGTTAGGTTGATGTGTTCTGGGTTGCCTAGTTGGGAGAAAAATTTATTTACCGCTCCATCTGTTGTCTCTTGAGAGTCCCTCGTGCACTCCCACCACCACCACTAGCAGCACCACCAGCCACATTTGTGTTGGATAGCGGTGCGGGCACTGGGGTTGCACCACTGCCGCGGAAGCCGTAATCGTCGTAAATCGTCACGCCGCCAATGTCACAGTGCGGATCGTAGAGGAGGGTCGGCGTGCCGCGATGCACGTTAATCACCTCCGGCGAACGCATCCGCTTCATCTCGAGCTTCTGCAGAATCTTCTGGTTCTGTTCACATGTATAAGTATGCTTCTTGTTGCCAGCGCCACTCCCGGGTCGATTCGCTTTTCGATCCAGGCTGAATTGACTACCAGCGTTATCAAGCTTGGTCAGGGACATGGCGAGATTGTGCGGGATGTTCTGATCGCTGTTATACTGCTTGAAACGACCACCCGCATGATGGGAGTGAGCATGGCGGACGTTGGGAGGTGGTGGGGGTGGGTTACACTGACATCTAGTGTCGAAATCTTCAGCTCGCGTGGTTATACTATTCGCATTGCGTTCATGATGATGATTTTGATGGTTTTGATGGTTTGGTGGTTGAGTAGCCTGTTGATGGTTACAGCGGTAATCAAAATGGTTCAGGAGAAGCTCTTCGCTATTCTCATAACGTGTATGGTTCAGATTGGGTTCGTTGGGTATAATTGTCCCGATATTCTGATAATCCCTGTAATCATTGTCCATTGGGCTAGTTGCCTGCGTGTATTTCGACGACTTCATCTTTCTGAAACCAAACAAATGCACATTTAATCATCCGGATCAATCAAAGCGGAATTAATTTCAAAAGTTAATCCCAGAAGTTATATATATAAAGAAATAAGTATGGCACGGTAAAAAAATGATTTATTGATTGCGAGCTCCTTTGACGATTGCGAGCGGCACAGCAGGTACGCCCGCTGCCTTTCTACGAGACTGTCAATTCCTCGGGGATATTGCCGGCAATACGTCGAGCTGCCACCCACTCGCCGGGTCTGAGTATTGAGTGAACGGCTTGCCCAGCAGGAGGAAAACTAACGCGAAACTCATACGCTTCCCGGGTCGGGCGCGAGTTTCCGAAACGTTAATCAAGCGAATCCGGCTTATAGTCCACCAGCTCAGCGAGTGAACTTCACTTCACAGACTCAGCTACAAAATAGGATAAACGAACGAACAATACGTCTCGTAAAAAATAAAAAATAAAAATTCATTTCTTTAAATAAAAACATATCCAAGTTTAATATTAATCCGTATATCCCAGGGGATAATTTTTCATCGATAAGTTTTTGCCCATTTTCGTTCCTTTGTGGGTTTTTGCTCAAGGGTAGCGCCCACGTTTTATTCATTTTCATTACTCACTTTCGCTCCGGGCTGAAATGATATATACGCCGTACGTTAGTTTATTTAACGTATCCGGGGATGCGATGATGGCGGGCAAGTGGACCCACTCTGACCAGTAGCGCACAAAAAAGCATGTGCGGCCGAAAAACGTTTTTATAACGCTGGCACACAATGAATGTCTGAGCAAGTGCGTGCACGCCGCCGAAAAAAAACTGAATGAGTCTGGAGGCTGCGAAAGAGGGTCATTTCGTTTACTTCCGAAGCGGTCTAGGCCAGGAGCTCATCTATCCACGTCTCAAAGTGATATTAACATTGAAATCACTAATATTACGTAGGGTATAATAAAAAATTTGGTATATTATGGATCAAGTGGGTAAACGGGGACTTTACTCACGAAATTGATTACGTTTAGGGAATTCAGTGTTTAATATCGTTTAGCCATATGATGCTTACGCTAATTTTTCTACTTCCACTTTATTTTCACGTTGAAATTTTTGTATTTGATTTTTTTATTTTAAATCCCCGAAATTTGCTCGCACACTACTACAAAATGCGCAGGCGCAAGTTCCGTCCCGTAGATAATACCAGTAGATAATGAATATTACTTACGGCTTGACCGTCCGTATATAAAGTACCACTTTTTATGTCTAAAAACCGTGGAAAACTGGCGTTAGAAGTAAAAAAAAATATTTTCAATATTTTAAAAGGTAATGAATGTGTGCTAGTGTGGTTTTATCCTGTTTACTTCTAACCCCGCTGATTCAGCGATTATTGCAAATTTGTGGCCGTAAAATTTTATTTTATGGAGCTTAAAGTTTGCCCCGACATGCACTAACATTTTCCGATGTCGACGCTCGGTATTATATCGGATGTTAGTGAATGTAATGGACATTAGCTCAGTTGCCAGCCGACGACGACTAACGTCTGCAGTTTTCCGCAATTTTCACAATTATCCACCGCTTGCCACACGTGAAAAGCGATCGCTGGTAAACTATTAAAGCATTCCGATCATTTTATAGAGTTTTAAAGTTTTTACGCGCGCATTAAAAGTGCACTTTAATGGTCAGATGCGATTATGGTCAGGGAATAACCGTCTTTCAATTAATTTATTGAGCTGCTTTGCTTTATAAACATTTTTAAAAGCTCTAAAACTTTAAGATGGCGAATTTAAAGTGTACAAAGGGTTGCGAACTCTTGAAGACAATTTATGTAGCCATTTCGTGCAAGTATAAGTTTCAAAGTGTGACAATACCAGCGATACATTAGGATACTTTACGAGGCGAGAAGAAAATCGCTCCGGAGAACGAAAGTGCGCCCCTGATTTATGCGCCCGTCCGAAAACTTTATTATACTCACGCAGCGACACGTTTCGCGTATTCGGCGCACACGCCGACTTCACAAAACGACAATAAATGACAATATGTAGAAAATGAACTCTTACTCCTTTGACTCTGCACATCAATTCCGAGAGGGACGCAATAAAACGATGCGAAATATCCGTAAGTAAAAACGAGAGAAACAAGCAAAACGAAATTTTCTTTAAAGACGTTTCTATAGACGAATCAGGGGAAACTGCTCCGCGAGCCAAGAGGAAATGAAGAATCGTGAATCTCGAAAAGTTCAGCGAGACGAAGACACGCAGTGAAATGAAATAAAACAAACGAAGGAAATTTACAGGATCGAGCAAAACCACGAAATCGAACTCAAGCCGAACACAAACCATGCTCTTCTCTGCTAGTTTCTAACCAAAGAGGAGGGTGGAGAGAGACGTCCTGCTGTTTGAATTCTGTTGAATTGTTAAAGCTGAACTTTCACTCCGTTTTCGCTTGGGCGCCGGCCCAAATCGAACCGAAATTCGAATGAAAGTTCATCGTTCTCTCCTCCGTGTGCTCACCTTGCCGACAAGCGGTAACCAGATGACAGTATGCTCGGTGGAGGGGATCAGAATCGGGTTGCGAGTTTATTAGGTATTTTCGCAATATTCCTTCCATTCGTTTCACATAATTTTCCAAAGGCGCAGAGAAAATAATACCCCGAGGACCTCAAGACGAACAAGGATGGGAAGCAGCGGGAAAGGTAACTTATCCATTTCAAGTTCTGTTCTGAAGGGATGAAACGCAAACGCAAAACGTAAACGCAAAACGATAAAGGGATGAAATGAATTTTGCCATCATTTACGAGTATATTGACCTAGTTTAAAACTTTCAAAAATTAAAAAAAAAATTAAAAAAGGAAAATGAATCATTGTTGTTGTTTAATTACAAACATGTGTGTTTACTGTCAGTGGCAAACAAGAATTCCAGAAAATATAACGGCAATTAACAGCGTTATTCGCAAATTTCGTGCTTTTGATGAAAACGCGTTATTTTTATTCACTATTTACGCATTCGCAACTGAATTTTATTGATGTCGGGGTTCAAACAGGTCACAAACATTACAAAATTTTGTTTTTCCCCTAAAATATGCACGAAATAAATTACAAAACCGCGAAATTCACCTGAATGCAAAATTAATCAACCATCAAAACACATTCAGATAATAATTCAATTATTTTGCATTATTAAAATGATAATTTACATTCACAATAAAATTTTGATAAACAAATATATTTACATAATAAAATATTAATGCTATTGATTTATAGATGGCGTTATGAGTGCATTGTACTTGTTTAATCTGCTGCAACAATTTAATCTTATTCGGAACAAATTTCAACATAACAACATAACAACATTAATTACAGTCAATCTCTTGCCGGCGATCGCTTATGATTGTTTTAATAATTTACAATTTCCGCCCACACACGCCAGAAGCCACTGGCGATGCATTAAGTATTCGCAAATTAATGTATTTCTACACGTTGAACGCGTTCGACTGCGTGTGTATTGTTTGTGCGTTATCTGTCGCTGAATTCTATTCAAGGTGTATCGTAGGCAACCCGCTGTGGCACACACAATACATGCGTTACTCACAGTGCTCGTTTGGTTGCCGACTCGCCAGGCGCATTGTACGCGTTTTGACGTCGCACGTTGCACGCTGGTGCATAAACAAACGGCATTAATATTTATTAGTAGATTCATAATAATGTGTGCACCGCGCGCGGAATTATATTACGCGTTGCGAAATTAATTTATTAACGCGGTGCATGGCTGCAGAGGAGATTGCGCGTTTCGCTTCCGGTTTGGATAACGTGTACTCCGAATTTCAGGCTTGTTTTATGAGATTAACATAATTTATTTTTTTGGGGATGTAATTTATTTAAATTAATTGCGTTTTGTGTCAAAATGTTTCGACTTTAATTATAAAAAGTGAATATTTGTAGCAAAAACGAACATAACTCGTAGCTACTCTACTTATTGCGTAGATTTAATTAAATATAATATTTATATACGAAGTATTCTGATTCCGTGCACGTCCTGAATGTTTAATTGCTAATTAACTTCGTTAACCAAATGATCTTGCCTGTTCTATTACGTGGAAACGAAAATTTTCTTTTTAATTATTTTTATTACTTCAATGTTTATAATTTAATCTGCAACATGACAATTTTTTCTTTTAAAAATTTAATTTTGTTTGTTTTTGAATGTAAAATAACAAATATTTGTTTTCTTTTGTGAGAAACTAAAGTTATTGATTTATTCTACGTAGAAATCTATTTTTCCGTCGGTAAAATAAGCGGAAAAGTTGATAAAAGTCAGAATAAAATACATATTTTATTGGCTTCGTATTACACCGGTTTTTAGAAGCAGGTACCTTACAGGTCACAAGTGCAACTCGTTGAAATCGCACTTTTCCACCTTCGCATTTACGCCGTTTCACCGTCTGTTAGTTGAGATTCGTTCGTCTGTTATTTTTTTTCCAACTTTTTTCACTTTACTTATTTGTCTCGGTTTTGTAGGTTTTGCTAGGTTTGCCTGGTTTAAGTTTACATGGAATTGAAAGTACTACCGCTCGCATCGAATGGCTTCAGCTTCAGCTTCACCATGGAGTTTGCTTAGCGCAAAACGAAAAACCGAGCGGTTGGAAAAGTGTAAACTCAACGCGACGAGCGAGGAGTGTGTGAGGCTTTGGGCTTTGACGATAAAAGTACTCGAGTGTACGCGTAGTAAGGTATGACAAGCCATATCGCCCGGTCGTTTGACGATTCTGACGAGAAGTCAGACGAAAACACATCGACTTCCTGAACGTGCATGGGATGAGAAGGGACTAAAACGTTTTTTTGTCTCCAAACGGAAAGGATAGAAAAGACTTGTAAGAAAATTACAACGGATGAAATGGCGCTCGGGATGGGAGCGTGGACAAAAAAATGAACAGTTGAAAAGAAACGTGTGCATTGCGCTATTTACACACCCTCGGTGCTTCGCATTCATGTTCAGCTCGTTCAATTCGTTGCTTACTTTGCGACGC